TTGGGACAAAGAAAAATTCTGAGTCCCCAACAGGAATCGAACCCATGACCTCCCGAACACCTGGCAGGCGCTCTATCCACTGAGCTACGAGAACTCATGGAGAGCAAGGTCATTTAACTGAGTTCATATATGATAGGTGTCCTGCATACTGCTAGGATCAACGCTTTCGAATTCATCGTGAGTAGTGATAAGGGAGGTCATGGGTTCGATTCCTGTCGGGGACTCAGAATTTTTCTTTTTCTTTGTCCCATGCTCGTGTCATGTTGATTAATTCACCTTCACATGTATAAGTTATGTTGGTAAGCATGTTAGATAGCGTCAGTTGTAATTAAGTGTAAACAAAAGAAGCGTGTCCTTGTAAGAAGGTATCAGATGTGACATTATAATAAAACTGTACAAATTAAAAAGTGATTCCTATTTGTCAAAAGACCATTTTCCAGCTCTCGGTATTGGACTGGAACTAGCTTGAAACTGAGGCTAATACGGGAACCCTTTTTAATGATATTCCCCCGCGTGAACCTCCATTGCACGCTAGTTCCAGTCCAGTAACGAGAATACAAAAATGGTCTACTGACCAATCGTGTCCAACACTCGTCGATCATGAAACTGATGTAGATGTAACAACAATGTAATTTTTAAAAGAAACTTGTTGAAAATGAATTTGCCGATTTGTTTAACTACAACGTACAGCTGCATGTACACATATGCAAACCATTCTCGTTGCCTTCTAGTACAGAGTGATCTTCTCATCACAGTAGCCAGTAAGCTCACCAGGGTGGGTCTACATTCTTCACGTTTGTCCCTTCTTTCTTTATCGCAGCTATTGGTTCATCCTGGAACACCCCAAAGATCTCGCTGAACGTGAACCTTTGCTAGAAACTGCAAGGACCGACAGTGTCACGGATGCTGGTATGAATCCGGTCACTTACTTTCTGTATGTCACGTAACACGCCAGTTTGTCACGGTCGCTACGTAGTAAGTCCTCGTTTTTTTTCTAATTAATCTGCATACCGCAGGATAAGCCTACCAATTTACAGGTGTTTCGCTGCGACTTGGTAAAATCATTCTTGCAGCGTTTTAACTGTCTTCAGGCTAAAGGAGCCATAGAGTAACTGGCGTTCATTGAACACTGCCAAAACGGCGGGAATAAAAAACAGTAAAAGTAACGTGGAGTGGGTCTAAAATTCGTATTTTCTTGATTTAGGGTACGTTTTATTTCCTTTCGTTCACAGACAGCCGAGCTGTTGATCCGTTAACGTTAAAAACAAAACTTATAATAACCAAGGTAGGTAGACACTTTATTACATGTACATGTAGAGATAATTACCAGATATTTCCTGGGAAAATGAATGCTTCTTTTCAAGCGTCGTACATAACATGCTTCCTATTGTCGTGGCCGTCTTATTCGACTGGTAGTAGAGGGTTTCTTTCTCGGCTATTTTACCTTAGACACGTTAATAAGGTTGTCGATTGATTGATTGGTTAGCAACTGGGAGGTTTGAAGGTTCTAGTAGCGTAGCAGTGACAGGAAATATATAGCGATGGTTCTGGGAAAGAGATTGGTTGGAAATTACTAGATGGAAAGTTTTAGGACATCACTCATGCTTCGAGCAACGTGGAACCTTAGTAGCAAAGGTTCGGCGTTTTGCAGATCATAAAATATGTTTCCGTAGAAAATGTGTTCGATCCATTCATTATATTCAACAGTTTTAGGCGGTATCCTGACTCTAATCTCGTTTCTGTCTTCTCTCAACTACATGTAGTCCCTGCTGAAGTATATGTTTCCATTGTTCTTTGTATATTTTGCTGAATACTTCATCAATCAAGGATTGGTAAGTGCTGATGCTTGGCGTTTTTGTGGCTCCTGAGTTGTTAGAGTAGGGTGTACACCATATAGGTCCATGTAGGTCCACATCAGCCCTAAGTTCGCCATACTCAGACCTGCCTTAACTGCCTTTACAAGTGAGAACCGTAACGGAAGGAGTGCTGGTCACGATTCAATTTGTTTTTCCTCATCATTCTTCTACAGCATGAACTGATTTACTGGAATAGAATCTGGTTGACACCTTCAGAGCAGTACAGATGGTAAGGGATCGCAGACTATGAAAAGTTGTCTGTAGTTTATTATTTACCTGACATCCCTCGGCTTGGATGACCATAGTATTGTAGATCAACTTGTCACTTCTTTGTCCGTAATGGTGGCGATTTAGTATCCCTTGCCCACATCAGAGACGGTCCGAACTTTTTCAGGGAACACGTTATCGGCCGCCGATTTTGCCGATTTTTTTTTTAACTGTTTTATCCGTTGACTTCACCGAGAGTTTGTTTCGCCCGGTCATTGTTAACATGAAGCTCGGCAAACTTCAAAAGAGCAAACAAAGCTGCTAGTTATATGTGATAAGTTTCATGACCGTACTTAGTCAGGAAGCGCATAATCGAAACGTTTCTATTGGTAAGTTGCTCACTGTGCCTCCACTATCTTCCGCAGAGGCTCAAAGGTGTTTCTAGGATGGGGAAAATCCGCTGAGCAATGTGAGTGCAGGCGCGGGGATAAATCCATTCTTCCTTGCGCCGGCAATCACGCAGCGGATCTTTGTAACGAATGTTTAGACCTCCCTTTCGAGGGGAAATGTTTTATACACCGAGAACAAAATTATAAAACAGGGCCAGTTGTTCGTATTCACAACAACCCCTCCATTAACTATGGCTTATTATATGGCTTTGGCTTGTGGCCGATATAACGCGCACTCTGATTGGCTAAAAGCGAGATCTGAGCGGTCATTATGCAGCCGTAATGCCCACGGTCCGATTACGGATTATGCAAATTAGGAAGAGCCCGGCTCTGAAAATTCAAGCGCATTGAAACGATGAGAACCGATTAAAAACAGTAAGAGAAAGTAAGTAGCTAAAAGTTTAGAGATTATTCCTTAATAAAACTAATATAGAAGTCGTTTTGACTTACCAGCCGGTAACCTTGGCGGACACTAGTGAAAAACAATCAAAGTTTGCCAAGTCTTATAAGTAAAGCTAAAATCGCTGAGTGAAAAACACCATCGGCAGATCTGTCATGCATCCTGAGCAGAACACCACGAAGAAACGTATAAGTTACTCGTCTTAGTCAAAACAATTACGGAAATATTGAACTCCGTCACAATTCTCATCAAATAGATTCCCTCGCATTAACACAAGGAAGTGTAAATCAGCTTCCAGGATCATCAGATGTAAACCATCGGGCGGTTTCTGTCGGTAGCAGTGTTTCNTACCATATTGACCTCGCTATCGCTCGGTCAATACGGCAAGGCCTCAGTTTGAGATTTTCCCGTAACGACCTCACTCTCGGTTATTAAGTAGTTATTAGTCAAGGAAGAGGACAAAGCACTAACACGTACAATGACTTTGCAATTGTTAAAATTCAAACGTAGCTGCTTGCTCTCACAACCTAGTTTATAAGAACAGCATGTTAATCAATGATAACTGCACTGATCCTCTCTGAACAGGTATCAAGTAGACTATCAGATTGGTGTGTTCATTTCTCGTTCATCCGTAAACATTTTTCCTATCAAAAAGATCTGGCTTTTGGCCCTCCTACAGGTGAGTTGTAATCTCTGTTGCATTAGGGTACGTTGCGTTGGGGCGATCTGGATCAGGATCAGTGATCCAAGATCACTCGGATCATGATGCATCAAAGGAACCGAGGATCCACTCTGGTCACGGACTCATCAGTTTCTTTGATGCACCATGATCCAGACAGATCTTGGATCACTGATCCTGCTCCAGATCACCCCAAAGCAACGTACCATTAGTTTGCCTTTATTTTGTGTATATTTGTCTACTTAACGCTTTTGCTTGTTTCTATGTGTTTTCTTTTCATTTCGTGTCATGTCATGTCATGTTAGGTCATGTCATGTCACGTTATTTCTTGATTTTGTTTTCTTTACACATAAAGAAGTTTTAGCCTTTACTCATCATAATCTTCCATTCGTTGTCGAGTTTAAACTTTATCGTTTTTAACAGGGTCCCTTCCCATGGGTATTTGTCCTGGAGCGAGTGTGATGTAATCTGAATCGTGGTGTAACAAAACGAATGGCAGAGTTATTCCCTCATTTTGGGGCCAATAGGCCCTTTGCAGCTGGAGTCACGTGACCAGATTTTTCCTAGAAAATTTTTATATTATGGGCTATAACTTAAAGAATGTCAGAAATGGAAAGAGCGCATCGAAAATACCAAAATGGCTAAGTTTGAGGCCCCTGGAATTAAAGAGTACGTTTTTACGACAGTTTGAATTTTCGGATAATTTAGAGGATTTGTGTGGAAAATGTTGCTGGAGAGCAAGAGCTTGCTCTCCAACAACTTTTTCCATACAAATCTTCTTATTCCTTTAAAAATTCGGATCGCCATAAAATCTCCCTCTTTAATGACGGGAGCCTCAAACTTGGCCATTTTGATATTTTCGATGCGCTCTTTCCATTTCTGGCATTCTTTAAGTTGTAGCCCATAATTTTATGAAAAATAGGTCACGTGATGGCTTAGCTGCAAAGGGCCTGTTGAATGGTCGCATGTGAAATAACAAAACTGGTCTCGAAGGTCAGTCAGAGATTTCTTTTATTTTGTGTATATTTATCTGATTTTCTCGAAGTACAGTCAGAGATTTAGTCACGAACAATGAAAATTGATGCAACAAGAAACAATCTCGATTACCCATGACTTTTGCGCCTTGTTAGATCTAGTAACGAAACTCAATTAGTTGTTTGAAGTAACCTTTCTCTGCTTTCTTGCAGCACGTGAATCTCGTCATACTTATATGCGAAACGTACCTTCATTTCCTGCCATCTGTTTGGATCATGTTCATTATCGTCTTATATGAAGGGCTTCTAGGAGGTGCTTGTTATGTCAATGCATTCTACAGGATCTCACAAGAGGTGAACTCTCCCTTTAGTATATTGTGTTCCGTGTATGCCTCACTTTCTGTCCATGGCATCTTTAGTGACGCGAGGCTGTTATGTTATGATTACATGCAGTGTTAGTGGAACATGAGATACTCGTGAGTTAGAATCAGTATGTGTACGTAATTAAATGGCCATGCGTAAATGCTAAAAAACGAATCTCAAGCAACGAAGACCAAATCGTAAAGAACGCAAAATTTAAGATGATGTATGTATTTCCGACTTTCCAGCGACCCAACAAATTATCTGACAGAGGACAAGATCAAAGCTGTTACGCTATTCTGTTTTGCTCAAAGTTTATAAGAAAAGTTTCAAGTCGCATGAAGTAGTTCGCAATAGCCAGTGGAACGTCATGGATTTTGACAGTTTCTTTCCAACGACCGAAAGGTGTCTCTTTTTTCGAGAGTTGCGTATGTGTTTTTGTCTTGTACATAATAAAAATGCAGGCAGCGTCTCTAGAATTGACAAATTGCATATGGTTTGTCCGTTTAATATGTCAACAGTACACCAACACATTATGTTCGCACTTCATTCGAAAACAGCACAGCAGTGTGGCTTCAGCATGCCACTGCCTTCTTATAGCGCGTCATCTTTGCACTGCATTAGAAGGCACAGAGGAGCGTAGTTGAGAGGTGTGAACATGTCATTGCACTTGTACACTAGCACATTACCATGTCTGTAATATTAGGGTCGCAATGCGTTAGAAAGGTTTACACAGGAGTGTAGTTTGAAGTTGTGGCTATGACATTTTGCACCAAGTTGGGTTAGAAAACAATTGGGTAGTCTCCCCCTCTCCTTCTTCTTTGAACGCCTTCCACGGAGGCTATGGTTTTTAAAGCTGACGAAGTTCCTATCCCTTACCTAGGTCCCACAAGAGCACAGGGAATTCTCAATGGGTGTGGCCAGTGTGGCGGACAGCTGCGGTATTGCAGTGGCTGGGGCAGCCGCCCTGCCTACCCATAATGCTTTGTGTTCGTACTGGAGAAACAAGGCTGCAAGCTAACGTTTGCTGTAGGCCTGGCAACAATGTGATGAATTTTGCAGCTGAAATGTACATAACGAATTGTGGAAATGGTCTCTAGAGATTTTCGTAGTTCTTTTTATTTCTATTTGAAATATTTATAGAGATTCAGATTTCAGATTTCAGATTTTTACTGTTCTGCACTACAGCTGACTCCCGATAACTCGAACCCTCGCTAACTTGAACCCTCCGCTAACTCGAAGTAATTTTTATTTCCCTCAGGCCATTTTCTATATAATTTTACCCTCGATAACTCGAACCTTTTCCTATTTCCCCTGAAGGTTCGAGCCATCGGGAGTCGACTGTATTTACAAAAATTATAACTTTAACAGTATTTACAGAAATTACATTAATTAAAAAGCGAAAAGAAATACAACAGTAAATAGCCAAAATGAAATTAATGTTCGTGTTGGAAACGGGGCTTAAAGTGCACCTAACCCCCCCCCCCCCCCCCCCCCAAAAAATTCAAATTTTATATACAAATTATTTTTTTATCTTGAAAATGTCTCAGAGACAACAGTACAGCTACTAATAGATTGACCACAAAAACCTAAAAACATGACTTTAGAAACANTCCCCCCCCCCCAAAAAAAAATTCTGTTAAATAAATATATATGTAATTCGAAGTATTTCTGCGAAAAAAAAATTGGATTGTGTTGAGAATTGTATTCAGCGAGTTGTAGGCTGAAACTCCAAATATACGAACTATTTATTGAACCAACCACGTAATCCGGAACATACAATGAACGGCTAATCACACTGGCTAGAAACGGTGAAGAAGCTAGACTCAAAACTCCAAAAACAGCGGCAAGGCTGGCCTAAAATCTCAAGCACGGCAAGAAAATAAAACAAAGATGAAAATCTGGAAAATTACGACCGCGGGTTCAAATGTACGCGCGAGCACGTTCTGGGTCACGATTGGCTAATTAAAATCACCTGAAATTACGCGGACAAAAACTCGTACTGAGGAGAGAGGAGTGAGTCCAGAGTTCGTAAAGTTCAAAGCATCTTCCCCCCTCGATCAGTCGTCATAGTCATAGTCCTTCAGTTCGTCCAGACGCTGATCGACTTGACGTTTTTTCATTTCTCCTTCAATGGCTGCTTGCCTCCTCTGTCTCTGTGGAGTGCAGGCAGTTCGTGTAGCAGGTTCTTCTCCATCTGCAGCCCTAGTCTCACGATCTTCTAACCGAAACAGTTTTTGTAGGGGTCTCCTAAGACGCTTTCGTTTGCTATTGGTTTAGACAACTTCTAGATTGTGGCTCCCCTTACAAGACCATCGTTTTCTGGATACACATCTAGTATCCAAGCTTTCATGTTCCTCTGTTAGACTTCAAGTTCCTCTGTTAGACTTTCCTTCTTGAACCATCAGGAACGCCCTTTCAATGTTGCTCACCAATGCAAGGTAACTCAGTGGTACCTGAATCGGATCAAGACATCAGAGAGTTTCAAGACACCAGAGGGCATCGAGGCATCAGAGGGTTTCAAGACATCAGAGGGCATTAAGACATCAGAGAACATCAAGAAATCAGAGGGCATCACACTGCGTGAAAGCCAAAATATTCTGGAGTATTCTAGACTCGAATATGTGATTGTGACGCAATAGANTTAATCGCCCGCTGGCGACCAGTTGTGAAATTCTGGTCGCCAGAGCAAAATTTTTAGTCGCATTGGTGACCAGGAAAGCGCAATTTCGGACCATGTGACCATAAAAAGCACCTGAACAACGAATGTCTTAATGATGGCAGGTCTTGATTTTCAGGAAAAAACCTTGGTTTTTTTATTTTATTTTTTATTTATATATATATTTTTTTTTATTAACACACAACACAACACTGCTGAAAACTACTTACAATTTAAACTTCTACGTACAAAAATAATGCTAATACAATACTCAATAGTACACTGCTTAAAATTTCTTTCTTTTTTTACCTTTTTAAAGTACAGACCAAGAAAGAATTTATAAAAAGTAACACACATGCACACTACTAACACAAAAAACGAACGCCAATTTCAGAATTACATTTATATCGCTGAAGCTTTAAGGCTACACTACACACAAAAAATATATGTATAGAAAAAGTACAAACAACTTGAAAAAAAGTAAAGAAATATGACACCTTAGCTTTCATTATTTGAACATGGAAATAGGGTTGGCAATCATGTACAAAGGAGGAAGAAAAGGGAAAAGACTTAATGCATGGCAAAAGTAGAGAGTGGTCCACTTAGCTTCAAGGAAAAAACCTTGGTGCCAGCTGCCCCTAAGTTTTCAGATTTAGTTACCAGCAAAAGTATTTCAGTGAAAAGCATGAAAATTTAGTTGCCATTGAAAAAAATTTGGTTGCAACATTGAGCTCTGGATAGTGGACCTCTATAAACAACACCATAAAAGAAAACAAAAATGCAAAAACAATAACAAATGAATACATAACGTATGGATACCAGCATATATATAAATACACAGTGTACATGACCAAACCATAGTTAATAAAGGGATATGGTTAAGAAACCCAGTAAACATCAAAAAAGCAACCAGACGAGTGAAGATTTACATTGGAAGGTCCTTGACCCTGCACATCTTTTGTTTTATGCTCATTGACTATACATGAATCACATAATCGCAATGCTTCTATTGGTTAGTTGTATGAGCACACATAACCAACTTTTGTATTTTAATGCCAGG